AGTGGGATATTTGACTGTAAATCTTTTAATCTTGTGCTACTGTTGCTGTTATAAAGACATTGAACAGAATTGCTTCAATGAGTACATGCCCTGGCAAACACTGTAGTAATTCTGATTTCTCCAGTAATAACTTCCTTTGTGTATCTTGGCTAACAAAAGGATTTTTCTGCCTGTCTTCTGTCTCTTGGTACAACATCAGACAGTGGTCAGTCCTGGCTTCCCTTGTAGGGTAAGGCACTTTGACACTCCTCATCCCTGGTACACTGACAAGGTAGCATAGAGGAGAAAAAGTCAGATCATTCCCATTTCCTCCTTAGTAGCTATGAAAGCTAAAGTAGCCTCTACCTTCCCTCTTATTCATTCAAGTTTCAGCACATGACATATATACCCAGGGCAGAAGGAATACCCATGTAACAGAATGCTGACTTTGCTGGGAGACAGTAGTATTGCAGATAAATATAAAAAGTAAAAACAGTCTTCAAAAGACCTTCCAGAACTGTGGTTAATAAATTTAATGGGACATTAGGAATTAATTAAAACCTACTATTTGTCATAAGTAAGAATCTGAGCTCAGCATTTTGCATAAGCAGCCCTAATGCTCTGATCTGGGCCTACAATGCCCAGTTCTCTGACCCATTGCTCAGCACGAGACTGTTCCAACCCTCAAAGCCCCTTCAGTCTCACATTCCGCCAGAACTGTGGTTAATAAATTTAATGGGACATTAGGAATTAATTAAAACCTACTATTTGTCATAAGTAAGAATCTGAGCTCAGCATTTTGCATAAGCAGCCCTAATGCTCTGATCTGGGCCTACAATGCCCAGTTCTCTGACCCATTGCTCAGCACGAGACTGTTCCAACCCTCAAAGCCCCTTCAGTCTCACATTCCGTATGTGGTACCCAGTTCTCTGACCCATTGCTCAGCACATGAGACTGTTCCAACCCTCGAAGCCCCTTCAGTCTCACATTCCTTATGAGAAGTGGTACTTGATCATATTACTTTATTTATACAGAATTGGTATAACTTCCCAGGCTTGTTGCCTTCTGTCCATACAGGTTCCACTGAAATTGTTTTGCGTTGAAGCTGGTGCAGAGGTTTGTAACTGATAAAGGAACAATAAATTAGTGCAGTGTGCACTGTGGAAAGACCTTCTTACCAGTAGAGCAGTAATCTAAAGCTGTTCATAAACCAATATCACTGCATCCCTGAAATTATTTTACAGTTAAAGAATGTCAGACTTCCAGTATTTTTCAGTGCATTTTTGAGCAGAACACAGATGTTCAACTGCCAATGTTCATATTTGATTGTTTTGATGGGTGTTGTTTGGGGCATTTGCAAAAATCTACACTCAAGCTTTATGACAGACCACAGGGGTATATGCCACAAGTCACACATGCACACACACATATATATATATTTTCCTAAAGCTTCTATCAGATAAACATGTCCTTCACTGTTTGGTTTTTTTTGTGTTGTGGTTTTTTTTTCTTTTCTTTTCTGTCATGGGGAATTTAATTGTCATGGGATTTGTTAGACTCAATCAATGTGCAGATTTTTTTCCTTGAAAGGGAAGATCTAAATGCAAATGTATTCTAATGTACTTGATGTTGTCTGCACATGTTGTTGCTATAGATTTATCACTGTAATTATTGCCCAGGTTGCACAATGGAAGTGGTCTAGAAATTCTTACATCGTTCTCCCTTTATTAAAT